TCTTAAAGACAGGATTGGGAGGACAACGAGACAAGATTAAGAAATCCGGTCCTTGTCGGTTCTCTACTTTTAATTTCTCACACTATGCACTTTCCTTTCAATGAATTTAACTTGTTTTTAAATTTAAAGTCTAAAATTTCCTAACATTTATTGCCCTTTTACACAATAAATTATATTAATCTTATTACAAGACATAATTTGGATATTTTCATTATCTTTTCAATTGTTTATTTATATTAACCAATTTTAAGTTAAATTTTATTGTTTTTCCGTTAATTTTTGAAGAAAGCTTTTAAATTTGTTTAGGATGAAATTTACTAGTCTTCTGATCGTTTTAATCTTCAATTGGATATTATGGACATCTGTTAAAACTATTCCAACTCAAAAAAGTTCAGCTGATGAAAAAGTTCTCACTGAGACATTAAATGATGTGGCAGAATCGTCGGTCAATCCTCAAATTCAAAAATATAAAGAAACGTTAACAATAAAGGACAAAGATAGAAATAAAGGAGAAAACAAAGTAATTAACAGAAGTGAATATTCTAAAGAATATTACCAAAAGAATAAAGAAAGGGTGCTTGAAAATGGACGAATTTACTATGAAAAGAATAAGGACAAGGAACTTGAACGTAAACGAAAATACCGAGAACAAAATAAAGAAAAGCTAAATGAAGAAAACCGAAATTACTATAAAAGGAATAGAAGCGAAAGAATTCAATATGGTAAAACTTACTACCAAAAAAATAGGGAGATGGTACTGAAAAAACAGAAAATATATCAACAAAATAATAAGGAAAAGCGGAAACAAATGCGTAAAAACCGACAGGAAAAGAAAAGCCAATCTGATAATAATGAAGGAACTTCGTCTGTTAATCCACAGACTGGTGATTTTATTAATAAAGGTAAATTACCAATTGTTTGTGCGGAGGAAGGAAATACTCTTTTTAATCAAGGGGAGGAAGCATGCAATAATGGCGAAGATGTTCAAAATCAAATCGAGGTGGAAGAGCCAAATAAAATTCTTGAAGATGACACAATAGATGCAAATATGAAAATTCATTCTTTTGATCTGAACGAGAGACCATTTGATTTGAACCAGAAACCTGAGGATAAATAACTAAAAAATTATTAAAAATAACCGATACATTCCATCTTTCTAAATATTTTTATTTAACTTTTCGATCTTTTAATTTGCCCCAGATTGCGTCTAAATTGAAATTTTTTCCGTAATTCGCAAGGCGAAGATTATCTAAAACATAATTATGATCAACCCTATTTTACTTTCTTTTGTAATAAATATGCCTTTTTGCACTTACAAAGGAGAGTGCCTGAGGTATCCGTGGGACTTCGGGATGAAATTTGGTAGACAGATAGATCATACCCTACTTATTGCGACATTTTCACCATTTTCGCTGCGTGGTACCAGGGACCGAGTTATAAGCCCCCAAAGTTTTAGGGTCCCCCACATATAAACAATTCTGATTCAATTTTAATTGATCTAGGAATACCATGAAGTTATATTTTTTCCTTTTTTTGCAAAAAATTTACACAAAATTAAATCTATTTTCTCGGACTACAATGACTTTTCGAGGTTTAGTCCTTGTTTAATATACATATCATGTCTGATTATAAAATTTGTTTTAATTTATTAAAAAATTATTTGAATATTTAACACAAAATATTTTTACACTTTAATATGAGTAATCATTGCTAATTAATTATAGTTTTTTTTATTTAAAATAAATTCAGTAAAAGCTTTAATTAATTAATGGCTTTTCCTCTATTTCTAATTTTGTATATTATTTTTATTAAATTCGAAGACATTTATTTAGTTTCTAATGAAACTCAATACAAATTTATTGAGGCAAGCAGTAATGCTGTATTACAAAAATATTTGCCTATATGGGCTAATGGAATGATTCGGATTGAAAAAGATGGCAGTAGGTCGTAAAAGGATATAATAATTAAAAAACTATAAATTAAAATGCGATTTACTGGTGATGTTCGAGAGTTAAAAAAGCCGAGAGTCGATACCGAGAGATTAAGCGGGATATCACTTGATATCCCTCCTAATCCACAAAAATCCTTGATATCCTTCATAGTCCCCCAAAATGCCTTGAATAGCCAAATCCGAATATAGCTTTCCTTCCAAATCTCTCTATATCCACCTTAATCTACTGATGATAATTTCTAAAATGTGAACAACTGGGATGTGCGCCAAAACATTTGCTTGGCGCTCAAGATCACAGAAGCCAATTGCGCAAAAGGCGCAAAAGACAGCGGTGCAAAACTCGGCGCACCATAAAAAAGGAAAATATCAGAAGGAATAATATATGAAATTAATAAAAAATAAATTAGCACCCTTAACTTAATCTTTTAATTAAGCACAATTAATTATTTACATGGAAAACGTCAATCATTGAATCTTTATTTAAAAATTCCAAAATGGGCCAAAATACAAGGAATATTTAATTTCACAGTTTCAATAAATAATTGGGAATCCTGTTCTTGTGTTACTGACAGAATATTTGAAAATTTGTTAGTTTCTTTAGAAGTCCCTAAAAATTAAATTTTAGACTCCCCTTTGCTTATAATCGCAAAAATGGAAGAGGAATTAATTTAGAGGAATTCGTTTTGCTTTCATGGAATTTTTGGCGAAATAATAATGGACAGAAAAATTTCTTTTTCTCTGGGGCAATTGGCGGAGAATTTAAATATGGTCAGATTTTTGTACTTTTTGTGATTGATCCTTTAAACCCTTTGCACAAAGCCGGTTATTAACAGGCCCCCGGTTAACGTTTAAACAGAGTTCAGCGGTATCGTGATTTAGAGAAAAATCTGGGATCGGGATTTTGGAATGGGGATACCGATCCCGGATCCCGACACGGGATCGGGATTGGCCAAAACCGGGATCAGGATTCACATTTCTGTCTCGGAATCTGAAAAATCGGGATCGGGCTTTGAAAAACCCGGGATAATATCCCCGATCCCGATTAACCCGGGTGAGGGCCTGGATAATCCCACCCGATCCCTGTCAATTTTGCAAAAACATCCGTTAACGTAACCGTAAGTGGTTAATAGGTTTTGTGCAACCCAAATATGAACAACCAAATTTTTAGTTGTCAGTTTGACTTTGTCATATTTTCCTGAAATTTTGAAATTATTGTTCCCCTCATAGAGGCTTTGAAACTGAAAGGAGTGGTTATCATTTAATTTTTACTTTTATCCCTACAGAACATAATGCAACGTGGACAGATCTTCCAGGAATGTATCGTAAAGCAACTATATTTATCCGCAAAAATGGGAATATATTTATTGTTTATGGCAAAAATATAGCTGAATTAAAGATTAATGAACCTCTTAATAATAAAATTAAAAATAATAATAAATTTGGAAATATTTTTCGAATTCGAATAATTTCCCAAAAAGAAGTGAGAAGAACATTTACATGGCTACCCGAAAAAATGATGGACGGGGACACTCCAAAGTGTGATTGGAGTGTAAATATTGTATGTTTTTTGGAATTTTAGATGAGATCTCGATTCTTAAAAATATAAGGCTTTAATCTCGAACGTTGACATAAATTATTTGTCTAGACATGATTCTGGGCATGTAGTCTTGCTAAAAATATGTTAAAGAGGTATTAAATACATATTTGAGAAACTTGAAAGATCATGAAGCTTGATTTCACATTTTATACCTTTAAGGGCAAAATTTCCAAGGGCAAAATTTTGATAATTTGCTGTATTGTGCTTTGGATAATAGGGCTGTGCGCCGAAATTTTCTCGTGGAACGCCAAACGCTATGACGCTCAGCCCTGTTGAGTAACCCGATACATAACATTTTGGACTCCATTTCTGGAATATTAAAAAATACGAACAGTTAAGGAATCTTAATTATAAGGATAATCCATAGCTAAACCTGGCTGTAGTAATTTATTAAAAAGATTTGAGTGTATAAAATTTATTATAAAATTTTCTAGTAATCCGAATTTAATCACAAAATAATTTTATTCTCTTACAAATTTAATATTATAGCCTAATGACTTGCAATTGCTTATACCTACTAGAATTTAAACTACAGATTAATATTAAAAAGAAGTAAATCTAACAAATTAATCTTTAAATTAAATTTTGTTGTAATAAATCACAGAATAAACAAGCAAATACCTAATGTATCTTTTATTTTTTCTATATTTTTAAATTCTGACTAAAATGAAAAATTTTTGGGGCTTGTTCAGTTTAGGCGTCCAATCACACCTTTATACGTCCAAACAACCTGTATACGTTCAATGAAAAGTTTATGCGTTCAAACATATTCTTATGCGATTTGGATTTATTTTTGTAACTTTTATTCCTTTTCGAAAAAAAATTCCAAGTTGTTAATCAAAGAGGGAAGTTGGTCCTTCATCAGGGGATGTTGCTTCGTCAACGGGGGATGTTCAACAAGGGATGTTGCCCCGTCAACGGGGGATGTTGCCCCGTCAACGGGGGAAGTTGTTCCGTCAACAATGGATGTTGTCCCGTCAACGGGGGAAGTTGTTCCGTCAACGGGGGATGTTGTCCCGTCAACGGGGGATGTTGCCCCGTAAACGGGAAAGTTGTTCCGTTTATACCCCTGATAGATATACTATAACCTTTTGGCTGATTTTATTTTTAATATGAAAGAACAAAGTCATACCAAAAAATAAAAAAAAATTTAATTAAATTTAAAAATAATAATTATTTTATTACACTAAAATGTACCTTTTGGGTGATTTGATAAATAGGAAGTTAACTTTCTTGTTCTTTTATTTTAGATTGAATAAGGTAAGTTAAATTTTTGTGTAATAAAATTATTATTTTTTAAATTTAAACAAAGAAAAAATTTTTTTGGTAGGACTTTTGTTAATATCATTATTACACTAATAGTTTCAGACAAAAATTTAACAAAAAAATTTTTTATACTTATACATATGTAGTTAAATATTTATTAAATTATACTAAACTATTTTATAAATAATGTTAATTTTAATTTTTTTAATTTTAATTAAATACTCACTGGAGAGTAAAGCTGAAATTAATTATTTATCTGAAACAAATAATGATTTGAAACAGTTAAGTTATTTAATTAATAATTATTTTGGTAATATCCGCTTATCTCGTGTCCGGTAGTCTCGTCAGAGAACATTTTTGTCATCATTTTTCGTCAATTAATTTATCGTTTAAAAATCTAACTTAGAGGCGTATTTTGTAGAGTTGGCCGGTATCAGGGTTCAACCGAACGCCGATTACAAAATACAGATTTTATGTCGGAATCCCGATACCGGTCAACTAGTATTATGGAGGGGGTCATCAATTATGGAGGGGGTCATCAATTATGGAGGGGGTCATCAATTATGGAGGGGGTCATCAATTATGGAGGGGGTCATCAATTATGGAGGGGGTCATCAATTATGGAGGGGGTCATCAATTATGGAGGGGGTCATCAATCTTGAGGGGCCCCCTACTCTCCCAGTCAATTTTTTGGTAAATATGTAAAAAATGGTCAGCCAGTCATAGTATAATAACTCCTCGATCTGTGTCGAATAAGCTCCTAAATAGAATGTTGTACTTACTCCTGAAAATTGAACTAATTCGGACGAAAATGTCCTTTGACGAAACTAAGGCGCCTTTTCCATTTCTTCTGCTTCCTTCATTTTATATAATAAAGGAAAGAAGTAAGGAAAATATCGTCAAGGAAATCTATAGAGATAAGTAGTGATCACTTGCGCCAAGAACATTTGCGCCGCGACTTCAGCGCCGCAACCTTCAGCTCCTGTATACCATTTTTTAAACACTCTTACACAGGATTTTATGCGAATACAGTAATCTATTACAAATAGGTGACTACCGTACCATAGATTCTAAAAAGAGACAGGTACTTATCGCCATAGGTTTCCTTGACTATTATTTGCCTTACTTATTTCTTTAAATTAGAGAATTAAGTATGCAGAAGAAAGGGAAAATGGGGAGGAAATCGGATAGTACATACATGTTAAAAATAATTAAAATAATTTTTAAAAAATAGAAGTGATCGAGAGACTCGTTGGCTAGGAAGCTGGGGAGATGGTGGTGGGGATGGAGGATTTTATGGATATCGATGGAGAGGAAGATATAACTGGGGAAGATATAACTGGGGAAGACAATATGGATGGGGAGGAAGATATTACTGGGGATAATATAAAGATATGCGTACAGCACAAAAGGGCGCGGGACCATAACGGCGCCAAACTCATCAGGGATGTGCGAGGTGGGGATGACTAATATTGATAAGCCCTTGAAATTTCCCAACTAATTATGGCTTTGCGTCGTTATGCCGCGCCTTTTTGGGTGTATTCTTAAAAATGTGTATGTATTTTAATATTTCTAAAATTTTTTTTTATTATTTTTTGTATTTTTTTATGAAATTATTAAACTTATAGAGAATTTTGAATTTTAAAAAGCGGAAGGCGGGATCGGAAGTTTATTGAATTTCTATATCTTGTTGTGTAATATTGTTAGCGAATTTTGAGTTCATTTTGGGGATAAATTAAGAGTACTAGGGCCCGGATTTTTAGGCACTAAAAAGTCAAAAATAGGGTCCTACAATTTTTATAACATGCCTATGCAAGGGTAACATAGGCACTAAAAACTGTCAAAATAGGCACTCAAATTCGAAAAAATGCAAATAAGCAAGGGTAATATGCACTATGCAATTTAATGCACTTTTAAGGTTCCCTATTTTTTCAGTTTTTATTTCATTTTTTAAATTTATTAAGTAATTTATTTTTTCGACTATGCACTTTCCTTTCAATGGATTTAACTATTGTTTATATTTATGACAGTAAAAAAGACTGCACTTTGAGATTTCGTAAATTTCCTGTCTGATATTTCAACACAGTCTAGCTTTGTGACCTTTATTTATCACTATTTTTGTTCAATTTTGTTAGAAAACATACCTACTTAATTTAGACTTTTTAACCTATTCAAATTTGTTTAAATAAACCAAATTTTAAGTTAAATTTTATTATTTTTCGTTAATGAACTGGTTTCAGTTCACTATCGGTTCGGTTCAGCCTTGGAAATAACTATAGTTCAGTTCAGAAAACAAATATTTATTCAGAGCGTTAAAAGTTTAAAGTTAAAATTTAAATATAAGTTCACTACAAGTTAAAAAAGGTGAAAATGTGGCGGATATATATAGTGGGAATTTAGGCAAACAAATATTTTATTGAGAAAACAAATATTAGTACAAATTGTGAATAATAAGAGATAAGAGATAAGGAAAAATCACCACAGACTGGTGATTTTTCTAATTTAGTTAAATTATCAATTGTTTGTGAAGAGGAAGGTAATACTCTTTTTAATCAAGGGGAGGAAGAATGCAATAATGGTGAGGACGAACAAAATCAAATCGAGGTGGAAGAGCCAAATAAAATTAATGAAGATGACATAAATCAAAAATAAATATAAATATTCATTCTTTTGATTTAAACGAGAAACCTGAGGATGAAGAATGTGAAGATTATTAATTAACGATATTTGTTTTTTAATTTTTACCGTAGGATTATTATTTGCTCTGCTTCATATTTATAGATTTACTAAAATGTCGCGTAAAGAATTAAAACAAATTATCATAGCTTTCTTCATCTAAGTCAAATTTCGTTAACACAAACTGTATACGTCCAATGAGAAAGTTTAGACGTCCATACATATTTCTTATGCGATTTTTAAAATCTAATTAAAATACATAATAATTCAATTAACTTATAAAAAATATGGTTTTACAAAATTTTTTAATAAGGAATTTCCATGGTCGATAAGTTTAAGATTTGAAAATTATATGATGCGATTCAATTGTAAAATTGGAATCCAGAATTCTCAGTTTAATAATTTTAGTAAATGAGAATTTTTTGGAGTAAATCGGAGAATGTTTAGCAAAAAACCGAACCTGTCATCATGTCCTGTTGTTCTACCGATTGAGTTCTAGAGACTTCTAACTACATTCTCTCATAAAACTCCCGTCTCAATGCTTAAAACGTTGCAAGTTTCCCCTTTCTAGGACTGAAATTATACTATATCCCTGCTCCAATGAGAACTTCTAAAGCTATCGCCAACCCGAATTCTGAAAATAATTTAATTTCGTTTTAAAGTTCATCTCATTTTTCACACATTTTTTATTTCATAAATTATTAAGTAATTTGCCTTTTTTCAACTATGCACTTTAAATTCAATGAATTTAACTATTGTTTTATTTATAAAAGTAAACAAGGGTTGCCCTTTGAGATCTCGTATATTTTTTGTCTGATATTTTTATACTCTAGCCTTATTGAACTTTTAAAACTTTTATAAATCTATTAGATTTATACAATTTTTATACAAAATATACCCAATTTACACTTTTATTTCCTCTCGAATTTTGTTTAAATAAATTGAAGTTTAAGTTAAATTTTGTCATTTTTCGCTAAATTTTAAACAAATCTTTAAATTTGCTTAGGATGAAAGTTGCTAGATTTTTACTCATTTCAATCATCAGTTGGATATTATGGACATATGTTAAGACAGTTCCAATTCGAAAAGGGTTAGTTAGAAATGCTGAAAAGGATTCCACGGCAAAGGATTTCGCTAAAATATTAAATGATGGGGCTGAATCGTCGGTCAATCCTCAAAAGGAAAAATATAAAGAAGCGTTAAAACCAAAATTAAAAATTACAAAAAAGGGCAAAGAAATACCTAAGAACAAAATAAAAAAAAGTGAATATGATAAAGAATATTACCAAAAAAATAAAGAAAAGAAAAAAGGATTACATGGCAAAGGAACTGAAAAGGATTACATGGCAAAGGATCTATCTAATACATTAAATGATAAGGCTGAATCGTCTGCCAATCCTCAAATTCAAAAATATAAAGAAACATTAACAAAAAAGAACACAGATAAAAATAATGTAGAAGACAAAGTGTTTAAGAAAAATACATATAATAAAGAATATTACCAAAAAAATAAAGAAAAGTTCGCTGAAAAGGATCGAAAATACCGAGAACAAAATAAAGAAAAAATAAAGGAACATAAGCGGAATTACTATAAAAGGAATAGAAGCGAAAGAATTCAATGTATGAAAACTTACTACCAAAAAAATAGGGAGACGGTATTGGAAAAACAGAAAATATATCTCCAAAATAATAAGGAAAAACGGAATGAATACATGCGAGAATACCGGCAAAAAAAGAAAAATGCTGAATCTGGTAATAATAAAGGAACTTCATTTGTTAATCCACAGACTGGTGATTTTTCTAATTTAGTTAAATTACCAATTGTTTGCGAGGAGAGTTTTGAGGATTGGAATTTTTTTAATCAAGAGGAGGAAGAACGGAATAATGAAAAGGATGAGCAAAATCAAATCGAGGTAGAAAAGTCAAATAAAATGATTGAGGATGACACAAATAAAGTGGATGCGAATTCATTCTTTTGATTCGAACGAGAAACCTGAGGATGAAGTATATGAGGACTATTAAAATTAACGGAAGATTATGACTAAAATGAAGATTAAATCTAAAAAAACCTAGTTTATAGTCGTTAAAAAATTAAATCGTTTTTTATTAATATGCGAAAAAATATCCAAAAAATACGTTAATTTTTAAAACGAAGTAAAAGTAATTACAAACGCATGGCCACTATCACTATGGATATTTTATCGATACTGGGTTTTACGCTTTTCTGCAATTTTCCTCCTCTTGATTAAAAAAATTCCAATCCTCAAAACGTTGAATTGAATTCGTTGACGTTTGAATTGAATTCGTTTAGTATTGACGTTATTCAGTTTTCTAACCATCGCTTAAGTAAAAAACTGAGAATAATAGTAAAAAGTTTTAAATTGAAAATTGCTAATAAAAAATTTAAAAATTATAATAAATAGAAAAATGCAAATACAAAGCTTCGAAAACTATACATACATAGTATGAGTTTTGCCGGTCCCGGTATACCCTTAAAAGTAAAAAGTCACATTTTATATTTGTAAGCTACAAAACATGTATAACACTGCATGAATGCACTAGGAGGGCCCGGCGGACAGCTGTCATTTGATCACAAGATAAATTAATTAAAAGGGTTCAAGGCAAGAATGTGTTCCATACGGGCAACTTTTCTTTTCCTGTCGGTTTTTTCGCTTGTATTCTTCCGCTTTTCCTTACTATTTTGTCATATATTTTCTGTTTTTTCAGTACCGTCTCCATATTCCTTTGGTAGTAAGTTTTACCATATTGAATCTTTCGTTTATTTTCCTTTTATAATAATTTCGCTGGATTTCATTTACCTTTTCTTTATGATGTTTTAACATTTTAGTAATATCCTTTTTCATCATGCCTAGCTAAACATTTTTAAGTTTGTAATAGTATATTTATAGAATATATATAAATATATACATGCGAGAATACAGACAAAAAAATAAAAACATTCAATCTGATAATAATGAAGGAAATTCATTTGTTAATCCACAGACTGGTGATTTTTCTAATTTAGTTAAATTATCGGCGGTACGACAATTGAGGATACGCACTTGAGGATATGACAAATGAGGACGACATTTGAGGACGACATATGAGGATTTGACAAATGAGGATAAAAATGAAAAATAAAAAAGACTTGAAAGATCCATAAAACTCGGAAGACCCCCACTTGGAATACTAATAATGAAGAATTCTTCTCTTTCCAGTGCGGCAGGCGAACATTTTTGAATTTCAAAAGGTCAAGGATCACCGTTTTTTATTATTATTTAATCCTCAATTGTCGTCCTCATTTGGCATATCCTCATATGTCGTCCTCATTTGTCGTCCTCATATGTCAGATCCTCAATTGTCGTCCTCATTTGTCATATCCTCAAGTGCGTATCCTCAATTGTCGCAACACCAAATTATCAATTGTTTGCGAAGAGGAAGGTTTTTTAATTTTTAATCAAGGGGAGGAAGAATGCAATAATGGTGAGGACGAGCAAAATCAAATCGAGATGGAAGAGCCAAATAAAATTATTGAAGATGACATAAATCAAAAATAAATATAAATATTCATTCTTTTAATTCAAACGAGAAACCTAAAGATGAAGAATGTGAAGATTATTAATACACGATATTTGTTTTTTTAATTTTTACAGTTGGATTTTTTTGCTTTGCTTCATATTTATAAATTTACTAAAAGCTATGTTTATTTAAGTCATACTCGACTTTATAGGATTTCAAATAAGTCGGCATTTGAGGATTATTTAACATAAAAAATAAAAATTTTCAAAATAAACTTTCTAATTTTTACGCTAAAATC